GCCTCCCGCCCCGCCGGGCTGGGGTCGCACCGCCTCGGACTCCCCTCCCGCCCGCCCGGGCCATGGAGGACGAGCGGAAGGACGGAGCCTACGGTAGGAACAGCCTCCGGCTCCCCGCCGCCTCCTCGGCGGAGTTGGAGAGCCCCGGGGACAGGTGACATCTGAGTCACTAGACGGGGGCGTGGGGGCGCTGCGGCCTGGAGGGCCCCCATTCCGCGCTGCACGGAGCCCCCTCCTCCTCCTTCCCGGATCGCCCGCGTCTCCTCCCCGGAGTCCCCGCTGCTGCTCCGGCGGATGGGCCGGGGCGCAGGGCGCATGCTCCGCCCGGGGAGGTCCCGTTATCTGGGCGACTCAGATGGCGGCCGGGGGAGGGGAGGCGGCCGGGAGGGAGAACCCCGACCTCCCCAAGCCCCCTGCCTGCCTAGGCCAGGCCTCTTCACCCACGGTCTTCCTCCGGCCCGCATCGCGTTAGAAATGTCCGTCCCGGGCGTTTGGCCAGATAGAGAAACTGAGGCACGGTTGGGTGAGCTCACGGCAGGGTGGGTGGGAGTGGGAGCCCGCCCACCTCCTGGGAAGGGTACCTACAGTGGGGTCTCTGGTGTAGGGACGAGAAGGAAGCCGTAAACAATTGGGAAACTTTCCTCGCCCTATGCTAGGGGCTGGGGTGCCCCACCACCCAGCTTGAGAGCTACCAGCCCCCCCACACACACCCGGCATCTGGGACCCCTTCCCAGGACCACCCCTCTGAGTGAGAGAGCATTGCCACTTGGTCCGGGGGATGCGGGGTGGATGTGGCCCCCTCCGTGTTACATTCTTCTCCCGAGCTCCCGTGGGAGGGGGCGGGCCTCGGGCTGCTCGCTCTCTCTTCTGCACTGTGGGTCACTGTGGGTTTCAGGGCTGCACCGAGCCCATGTCTCGCATGGCATTACCCTGGTGACACGAACAGCCTCAGCGGGCCCCTCTCCTCGAGTGACAGGAACTTCCTGGCAACTAAGAACTCAGGGCATTGAGGAGGGGGCCGGAAACCACTAAAAAACAACCAAGAAAAACACCCCTCCCCCCAGGGGCTAGGGCTCAGTAAACTGTTAAGAGAGACAGATGGGGGAGGCTGGGACCTGCCCTGCCCTGCCCAGCCCAGCCCAGCCCAGCTAAGAGGCAGGCACTGAGCTTGGCTGCCTCCCAGTAACTCCTCTCAGCTTGAAGCTGCCAGCCCAGGGGGGCCCTCCTTGCCCTTTGGGGCTGCCTTAATCCTCAGACCCTGCAGCGGCTCCCCCTGCCCAGGCAGTGGCCACTAGATGTGTCTGGCTGTCATCCGAGCCCAGCCTGGAATCTCAGCCCTGGGTCCTGAGCAGACACTCCCTGCCTATGGGGAGCAGTTGAGGGCTCTCTGGTGTCCCTGATGGCCCAGCTGAGATGGGGGTGGGGGACAGAGTGGACAATGATGTGATTCACCCTGCCTTGGGTTTGGCCAAAGGGAGCCAGCCAGCCATGGATGGGACTAAGTAAACCCTCCTAGGCCCGCATTCAAGACAGGGGAGCTCTGTGCCTGACAGGCCTCGGACTGGGCACTGGGAACACAAGTATCTGTTGAGCACCCCACCGGTGGGACAGGGGGCGTGTCTAGACACTGGGGACACAGTCCTGAGCGAACCAGGAAAATCCATGGGGAGTGGCCAGGGAATCCATTGCTTTCGTAGGCGGGTATTTGGGCGTTGTGAAGATAGAAGGGGACAGGGTGTGTGATGGAGAACCATCGTGGGTTCTTTTATTAGCTGAGGCTGGAGGTTGAGTGGGAGCCCTGGTGGTGTAGTGGTTATACACTGGGCTGCTAACAGCTAGGTCATCAGTTCAAAGGCATCAGCTCCTCCTTGGAAGAAAGGCGGGGTTTACTACTCCTGTCAAGAGCTAACCATAAGGGGCGGTTCCACCCTGTCCTATAGGGTTGCTCTGAGTTCCCATCGACTGCACCGCAGGTCAGGTTTGGTTTCTGTTTGGAGGGGAGTCTACCATGAGGAGATTTGGGGAAATGTGGTGTTGCAGGCAGAGGGATCAACATGCCAACCGCATGGTTGTTCAATGCTGTCTCTGAAGCCCAGTGGAACCTGAGGTGGAGATGCCAGCCGAGTTCTGCAGACAAGGCACCTCATCTGGCTTAGGTTGTCAACAATTCTTTCTTGTTTTCCTTTTCTGTTGTTACTATTAGCGTTTATAGTAAGCTTCATTTCCTCATATGTTTTTGCTTCTTCAGTTTCTTCTGAGAGATGGTTTTCTTCTGTGCAACCTCCTCCTCTGGTTTAGGAACAGTGTGATCTTTTCCAGTCAGGATCATTTCAGCGTGGCGAGGGGAGCTCCTGGGTGGGCTAACCCGACCGTGAGCTCTGTGAGTCTGGCGGTGCTTCTGGGGGCTCGGTTCACCTGTTTGTGCTCAGTGACC